CAGCTACTCAGGAGGCTGAGATGGGAGAAGGGCTTGAACCCAAGAGGTGGAGGTTGCAGTGAGCCAAGATTGTGCCACTGCACTCTAGGCTGGGTAACAAGAATGAAACTCTATCTCAAAAAAAAAAAAGAAAAGAAAAGAAAAAGAAAAAGAAAAACATTGGAAATGTGGCACTCCTGATACTTTTCCAAATCAACCCTCTCTATGTCCCATCATCACCCCACCCTAGTGGGGAGACTGAAGTGGCCAGGGATTTGCCCAAGGTGCACAGTGGGTTCCAAGTTCACTGCTGATTACATCTGACCGAGCTCCTTTTCCGAAGTTCACTTTGTTTAATCTTTCCAGTGACGGTTTTCAGCAGCTCCAGGACAAACTCCACCTGGTTAAGTATAAGGGAAATCCACAGTGACTTAGTCCTGTTGTCATATCCTACCAATTCCCCACCCTCCTCCTCTGCCCCTTTACAGTCTCCCACACAGGCTGACACCATATGGTGGCCTTAATGGAAGCCACCGAGTGTGTCAGGTTCTCCCCTTGGCCCTCTGAAGGTGGATGTAGCCATGTGCTGTGACTCAGGAGCTGTGAGTGGAAGTGAAGTGTGTCACCTCAAGACAGAAGAGTTGGGAACCATTGAGACTGGCCACCCTCTCCTCCATCTCTTAGAGCAGCTGACAGGTTCTGCATGGAGGCTGCTCCTTTATCCTGTTGGTGAATGAGGGGATGTGAAGCACAAGGCCCAGCAGAGCCATGGTGGACGTGCAGCATGAGCAGGATAAGAACCTTCAGTGTTGTAAATTTCCATCATCTGGGGCTGTTTGTTACTTACAGTGATTTCTAGCCCATTGTAGCAGGCATGCACCATCTATTTCATGGTCTGTGAAGCAGACTAGCCTATCCTCCAAACATGACTGGTTGTCAGACACACGTAGGTTTCAGTTTCAGCTCTTCCTCTTATTGACTGCAACCTTGGGCATTTGACTTTGAGTCTCTGAGCCTCAGTTTTGTTTTTGTAAAATGGTTTGCTATGCTATCTCAGGTTGAGGAGAAGATTTAATGAAATAAAAATGCATGTAAAGCATTGAGCCCAGGGCCTGGCACACACAGTGAGTACTCAATCAGTGTTAGCCATGTAGTTTCACAATGTGTATTCACTGTCAGTACTCAGACAATGTAGTAAAGTATTACAAAGAAGTAAGTGTTCACTTTTTGGCATATGTACCTCTTTGCACTTTATTGTCAAACAGATAATGCCACGTATACTTTTTCAAAGTATAATTTTTTTCTCTTAATATGTGTTGAGATGTATGTTAAATATAAAAAAATCTGAATCATTATTTTAAATTGCAGGATTATATTCAATTTTATGAAAACTTTATTTCTCTATTGTTTGACTTTTTGTAGGTTGCACAAGGCATTGAATTAAAATAAACATATCAGAATGAATTGCATTTATAAAGATAAATATCATTCTATTTTTTGTTTGTTATATGTATGTATATATATTTTCAGTTGCAAAACAGAACATATTTCTTCCCATGAATCGTGTTAGAAAAAGTTTGGAAGCTGCTGATTTGGATTTCTTTTTTAATTTTTACAGGATTGTAAATAACCTTTTAAAAAATATCCTTGGGCACTTGACTGATTTTTGCCTTTAGGTTAATATGCCAGCAATGATTCCTTTTGGGTTTCTGACACAAGATAGCAGTTTCCATCCAAATAAATCAACTATGCCATCCCATCCCTAAGCCAAACTTCTTCTTCTACAGAAGAAAAACCCAGTACTGTGACTGCCTAAGCTTCCCCCTGCACGGCCACCCTATGAGACATGGGGCAGGAGCACTGGAAGCTGTTCAGGGGCACCAGACCCCTTCCATCTGCCCTCACTCACCTTCCTTGGGGACTTGCATGAGACTGTCACTGACTTTACATGTTGCTGCAGCTCCTTGGTCAGCTGGTCCTTATCACGGGACAGAAACTGTGGTGTCAGGACAATAAACACCTTTACCACCTGCAGAACGAGGGCAAAGGCTTACAGTGAGTGTCAACCTATTACATAGCTTAAAAAGTCAATATTGGTCGGGTGCAGTGGCTCACACCTGTAATCCCAGCACTTTGGGTGGCTGAGGCAGGCAGATCACTGGAAGTCAGGAGTTTGAGACCAGCTTGGCTAATATGATAAAACCCCATCTCTATCCAAACTACAAAAATTGACTGGGTGTGGTGGTGCACACCTGTAGTCCCAGTTACTTGGGAGGCTAAGGTGGGAGAATTGCTTGAGCCCAGGAGGCAGAGGTTGCATGAGCTGAGATTGTACCATTGTACTCCATCCTGGGCTACAAGAGTGAAACTCTATCTCAAAAAAATAAAATAAAATAACAAGAAAATATAGAGAATTTCACCAAATACCTGGAATTTATTTTTTAAGGATTAAAAAGATGTATAGAATTGAGAAAAATGACAGAAATTAAAAATCCAGTAGGTGGATACAACAGCAAATTAGACAAAACAGAAGAGAGGATTAGAGAAGTGGAAGTTAGGTTAGTAGAAAACACTGAAATTGAAGGTTAGAGAGAGAGAAAAAGATGGGAAACACAGGAAAGTTAACAAGAGACATGGAACATATCAGACAGGTCTAACTTGTGAGGAATTAGAGTGCCAGAACCAGGAAAGGAAGTGGAACAGTACCTCTATTTAAAGAGAAAATGGGGTTGGGTGCAGTGGCTCACCCCTGTAATCCCAGCACTTTGGGAGGCC